AAAAAAAAAAAAAAAAAAAAAAAAAAAAAAAAAAAAAAAAAAAAAAAAAAAAAAAAACAAAAAAAAAAAAAAAAAAAAAAAAAAATAGTTCAAAGGATAGGAAAACGAGAGACCAAAGGGGAAAGGACGATACGATGGCCTACGACGACGTGATCCTACAAATGGGCCAGTTCGGCAAGTACCAGCGTAGGATATACCTACTGCTGTGCTTGCCCGCCATATCTTGTGCTTTTCACAAGCTGGCCGGCGTATTTCTCGGAGCCAAGATGACAACTAGGTGAGAAAGAGACCTTTACCCGCCACCCCCGCAATCCCATGAATGGGCATCGGAGTATCCAATCGTGATGATCGTTTCCAGGTGTCTTCTGCCCAACGAGAACGCGGACAACGCGACGTTTCACTTGCCGGAGATGGCCATGAACGCGACCTACCCGTGGGACGAAAAGTCCAAATCGTGGTCCCAATGCACGCGGTACGCCGGTGATGGTTCACTGGCCAGTTGCGACGACTACGTGTACGACACGAGCATGTATCGCAGCACCACCACGTCCGAGGTGTGTATCATACCTGTGACTGTATATTTTACTTCCGTGTACTCATTGCAGCTGTAATAACATGTGTACACTCGTATGCAATCCAAACAGCTTCGATCCCAAAGTGATCGGTAAGCGATAAGTGATACATATATATACACATACTCATTTGTCGTTTCGATCGTTTGTTCGTCTCGAAAGTGGGATCTCGTGTGCGACAAGGACTGGCTGCGAGCGATGGGCGACTCGGTCTTCATGATCGGCGTGATGCTCGGCTCGACGATATTTGGCGCTTTGTCGGACAAGTACGGCCGCAGACCGATTTTTTTCCTCTCGCTCGTGATACAGCTGATCGGTGGGGTCATGGTCACCTTGGCAACCGAGTACGTATCCTACGTCGTGTTCAGGGCGATCGTCGGTTCCACGACAAGCGGCGTCTTCCTCGTCGCCTACGTCATTGGTGAGTGTCATCTCTTTTTTTCTTTGCCGATTTTTTTTTTTTCTTTTCTACGCTCAATAGGAAAGGGACTTTTGTATCGAATTAATTAGATCGAGATACAGATATCTAAGTTTTTTTTTTTTTTTTTTTTTTTTTTTTTCAAGATGCCATACAGCAATACAGCTAACGTTCGCGCGGCTATTTTTCATAAAATATACCCAAGTATCATTTTTTACGTACAGTTTTTACTTTCGACGATAGCAAGTGTATGTATATTTATAAAATAGGCTTTCGAGACGATGAAAAAAAAGGAGAAAAAAAAAAACGTCTCGTCCTTCGCGATAATTATTATATTCAGGTTCTGGCAAAAATCGAAAGGACGCGTCGTCCGCGCGTGTATGCCGATCCTGAAAGTAAAGCGGGACGATTTAACGATCTTTTCGCTTTGTCGCGCGTAAAACGATCTCGGTACCTGTACACACACGAAGGTATAAGCCGAAGAACGAAGGAAGACGAGCAAAAAAGGATAAGCAAAGTAGAAATGATCGGTAGGAGGGTCGTCCTCGCGTCGTTCGTGTTTATGCACTTATATATATAATATATACATGTGGAATTATGTTGAGTGCGCACGGGCTAATGAGAGCTCGTCATGAAAGGCCCCGACTTCCGATTGCTTTCGCGTCACGATGCGTCGTGCGTGTAACTCGCACATGTATAAGTATATACGTTGGAAGATGTATAATTTCGCTCGTCCTAAATGCCCTCTCTTGGCTGATGCTATACGTTTCACCTTCGTTTTTCTGCCCCTTCACAATTTCTTGCTTTTCTTCCTTCTTTGTCTCGCTGCGCATGTACCAATGCTCCCGAGAGTCCAACTTTTCGAATGGTGCAATTTTACACGAGAAACCATAGGGTTTTTTTTTTTTTTTTTTTCTACAAAAATAACATATAGATACCAGCTGCAACAGAAGAGCGTAGCCGTTCCAAATATCCAAGACAATACAAGTGCTGAGCGAGAAGGGCACTCGTCCATGTTCATATATTTCTTCCTTGCGTGGGTAAATTGAGCACACGCGAACTCTTTGGTAGAACAAGGAGAAGAAAAAAATCTTCTCTATGCATATATATTAGGGCTACCGGTCGGTGCTGTGAATCGAGAGGGAGCTTTTCTCCCCTTTTTTTTGCAACCATCCGGTCGATTCCTTCTGTTGTATATACTTTTATACGCGCAAAAGAAGAAAAGACGAGGAGGAAGAGACGATGATCGTTAAATATCGCTGAGGCCGTCCTACCGATGCCGGCGATCGCTCCTTCTCTTCTTTCCTCTTCTGGGGCTTTTTTAATCCTGCCGATCCTTTGCCCGCCGCTTACCTATACTCGTTTTCCTCGCGCTCGCGTTTCCTTTTCTCTTTTTCCGCCTCTTTGCCCGGCGGCTCTTTTTTCATTTGCTTTTTGCACAGCTAAAGATAGACGTGTATCCATACCGATCCCGATTGTTTCGAGCTGAAAAGCCGGGGCAGATCATTGTTCGAAGTTTCGCTCCAACGTTACATATACAGTCTCGCTATTAAAATAAATGAAATCTGTGAAACGAAGAATGATGATGAGAAAAGTTGGTGGTGTTTCTTCACATTTTTGGTCTTGTTTTTTCCGTAGCCCTTGAAATGGTGGGACCCCAGAAGCGGCTGATTGCCGGTGTCGGGTGTCAGCTGTTCTTCACGACCGGGTACATAATGACCGCTGGCTTCGCCTATTACATCACCGACTGGAGGATGCTCCAGCTAGCTCTTACGATTCCCAGCGTGGCCTTTCTTCTCTACTGGTGGTGAGTGCATATTTCCCCATCCCCCCATCATAATAAACCCAAAAATCAAGTACGACCCACTAGACGATCGAGTAAAGCGTTGAGGCAAGCATATAATTATACAGCGTGGGTGCCGTTTTCTTAAATTACGATACGTTACAACTATAACGGTTCGCCTGTGAAAATGCAAAGTAGCCCGCGCAACGGCTCGACACGTCGGTTGTTCTTATTTTTTTTTTTTTTTTTTTTTTTTTTTTTTTTTTTTTTTTTTTTTTTTTTTTTTCGTTTGCCCCCATTAGTTTATGTTACGGAATTGAGAGAGGAACCGTTCTCCCTCTCTCGTACCGCCTTTGTGCTCCCGCAACGGGACTCGCGTGATGTAACACGAAGCCTTCTCACTCGGTCGGATCGGCAATAAAGGTTCATTCCCGAATCGGCGAGATGGTTGCTGACAAAGGGCAGGTCCAAGGAGGCCGGGGAGCTCCTGCAGAAGGCTGCTCGGGAAAACGGGGTCGAGATCGCCGAGGAGACCCTCGTCGCCCTGTTGGAGGAGACCAACACCGACAGCATCCCGGACGCCGACAAGCCATCCATCTTCGATCTGTTCAAGTATCCGAATCTCAGGAGAAAGAGCATGCTGCTGTTTTTCAATTGGTAAGCTTTTTTTTTTTGTTGTCCTTATTTGCGAGTACTGAGGAATAATCACAGTATAAGGGCGATTTGCGAGTAGTTTTCAAAGAGCAGTATAAGTGACTGACAAAAAAATGATACTTGGGTAACAATATAATGTTAAATTTAAAAAAAAAAAAAACAAAAAAAAACAGGTTGGTGAACAGCGGGACGTATTACGGGCTCTCGTGGAACGCGTCGAGTCTCGGTGGCAACGATTACATGAATTTCGTCATATCGGGACTGGTCGAGGTGCCGGCCTTTACCTTTCTCATATTCACGCTCAATCGCTGGGGCAGAAAGCTCATACTCTGCGGCTGCATGATTGCCTCCGGCTTGGCCCTCGTGGCCATGATGTTCATACCAATTGGTAAGTGATCCTCAATTCATATCAACTGTACTTCATACTTGCATCTTTTTCGTTTATTGATTGATTGATTTTTTTTTTTTTTTTTTTTGCTCACTTTGCCCCCTTTTACTTACCAGTTTTGGTTGTTTATTGGAATCGAAAGTATATGGATACATTACAATTATAATACATACTCAATTCGGTTTACAAAAAAAAACTTCCTCTTTTGTTGTTGACGCGTCCTTGCGAGTGGCTCGAGTATAAGATATAATGTGCTCGAAAAGAGCAATTTTCCAGCATCGCGATTTTATGTGTTTAGAGAGGATGTAAAAATAGATGGTAAATACACGTATAGTAACTCATATACGCGTGCGTGATCACTTATGGTCTATTTGTAATGAATTATACGTACTTACCTACGTTTTTGAGCTGTAATTTTGCTTTTTCGAAAAAAGACTGATGGTAATAGTATACAAACCTAGTAATACATGTATTTATAAAATTGATCTTTTGATGAAAGATCGTATAGCTGCTCTTTTTTATCACGGGTAAATAACTGTTTCTCTATTTTCTGAATTTGTTAAGCAATTGTATGTTTTTCCATTTTGAAAAATATGTGTACCTCTGCAGACATGGTGTGGCTAAAGGTGACGTTCGCGATGATAGCAAAACTCGCAATCACCTCGTCCTACGGCACGATCTACGTCTTCACTGCCGAGCAGTTTCCCACGGTGATCAGGAACGTCGGTCTCGGAGCATCGAGTACGGTAACCTTTAATCGAATTCTCTAGTTTTCATATCAATCTTCATCGTAGAGCCTTTTTGTTTTCCGTTTACCACCTGACACGAACCATTTGTTGTAATTTCAAGGTACGTTCGCTCGGCTGGGCGGGGTCGTCGCGCCCTACATCAATTTCTTGGTAAGCAAAATAATTTGCACGTGAAAGAACAATTATGATACACCGTGACGATGAATAACACAAAAATTGTGGGCTTGTAGTCGATATACTGGGAGCCATTGCCTTTTTTGATCTTTGGGTTTTGTTCGCTGATCGGCGGCGCGCTGTCGCTTCTTTTGCCGGAGACGCTCAACAAAAAGTTGCCCGAGACCATCCAGGACAGCGAGGCTTTTGGAATGTGAGTGTACAGTCCAATAATCGTAAGATTCTGTCTGGGCGATCCAATTGATTTATTTATCTGTCTTTCTCTCTCCCCGCAGGCGATCGAAGAAAAAGAAAAAGAGCGAGAAAACCGGCCTTGAGTTCGAAGTGACAAACGGCGTGGAGATTAACAACGTCAAGGACATCAAGGCGTAATGGATTCGTTTCGGATGTCAATACAAAATGCATGGATGGTGGTTGATATATCTCAATTTGAAAATCAATTGGGCCAATTGAACAGTTCATTGCTGCGACGGTGGGGTATCTTCATCGATCGTTTTCATTCGTGTTGTACACGAAACATGTTAGTTAGCATATTATGGATATGATGTGTATCTAATTCACACGCGACTGGTCTGCCAAATATGTGAATTGATTTTTTCTATTTTTTTTTTTTTTCCAATAGAAGATAACTGTGAACGTAGTTTTTTACAAAGTATTTTAACGATACGACGATACGAAAGAAAAAAAAGAGGCTTTCTGATCTATTTTTACACGTGAATAACTATATGTCTTTAGGAACGAGAGTTTAGCCTCGGGTTTTGCCATTTGCCATTAAAGATAATAGTTCGTATCTAAATGAGTATGGATATCATTACATAGCTGCAATGTACAAATAGTTGTCGCCAATTTAAAGTTTGATCTGACATTTCTGTAGGTACTTTTTTTACGTGTATGCAGGTATTAAAGACTGACTCACACGCACGAGATGAGTTACCGTGTAGTTTTTAAGAATAATGATACCGAATGAGTGTCGGAATTTCTTTTCAAACGCTTTTCGTCACGCACGTACGTAAATTTTTTACGCACATAATATTTGCTGGACTTTTATAAATTACGTTTAGGAAAATTTGCATTTATAACCAAGAATTCTAAGATACACAATTTTTTTTTTGTATTTTTTTTTTATTATGAAAAAAATACGTTTTCATAAAATTTACTATTGTACACGTGTACGTTTCAACACATTCATAAATTGTTTCGATTCGAAAAAGTGTAAAAAAAATTACTTTTTTTTAAATTTGTAAAAATACGTTTTAATAAAAAGATATAAAATAAGGCAATTTTTTTTTTGCCCATCAAAATAAATTAGTATTTGTTATTTAAAAATATTAGTATCGTTGCGGTAATCTGCCAAGCAATCAATTTATAATTAATTCTTTTCTCTCAACCACATCTGTAGGCGCATCGTCGTCTCTAACAATAGTATAAACAACCGACAACTTTTTTGGGATGCATTCTGTGGTTCTACACGACATTATGTCCAGCATAATGTGCAATTGCTTTTGCTCAGTACCGTGCGGTATCTTAATCGACAGTGGAGTTGCTAAATCACCATTTTCTAGAGCTTTCCAGTCAGCGGACGGTAATCTTAAGAACCACTTCTGAGGTGCTTCTGCATTTAGCTTTAGATCGCTATCAAAAATAGGAGTAAAAGATAGAGACATATCTGAATCTTTAGTACTGACTTTGGATGTGAAATTGTATGTGTGTTCGCCTCTATTCCACGCTTCAGCAAGAAGATCCACAGGAACCTGTACGCAAAATAAAGAGCCACGTAGTGTTTATAATTAGTCATACTTTTAACAATACCGGAGTACTCACTAAACATATTTTCTCGACGTTATCCAAATCAATGGCTTTAATGCAATGATTATTCGTATCAGCAACGTATAAAGTTTTTCCATCACAACTCACGGCCAGTCCACTTGGCTCATTAAAATGAAAGAGGTCAGTCTCTTCAGAAGACCTCTCTGTTTTTTGAACAGCCTTCAACAAACCTTTCATGCTAAAAGAGCTTGCTTTCGATGGTTTTCCGTGACCACAGAGTGTCATGCAATTACCTTCACTATCTGTCTTTTTTATTTTGTGATTGTAAGTATCTGCTATATAAATCATCATGTCTTTGCTGTTCCAAGCTACTCCTAATGGGTGCTGTAATTTCGCAGCGTATTTTTTACCATCCTCGTCGCCAAAACAATGTAAATTCTAAAACATACAAGCAAACACCATTAGTTTGGCAGTTATTTTTTAGAGAGCGATGTTTTTGTTGATATTTCATACCGATGGGTTATTGTCAGCTCCACAAATAGGCAGGACTTTTCCATCGTCGAGGCAAACTCTTCTGACTGTACTACTTTCACTGTCAGCAAAAAAGACGGATTTCAACTCTTGAGCTACTGCAAGCCCAGAAGGTTGGGCTAGGCTGGCTGCATGGGGATACGAATTATTTCTGTTTGCTTCTCTACCATTTCCGACTATGTTAGCGCAAGTTCCAGCCTTGTGCTGTCTGATTGATAAATTTAACAAAAAAAAAAAACCAGTAAAAAAAAAAATTTTTTTTAAACACACTTGTAAATAGAGACTCAATAAAGGAGGATGAATTTTTTTGTTTCTTTCTTACTTTTTTTTCCACCATATGGTGTCTTCTAAAAATAAAGCCCAAATTTGATGCGTGCCCGCAATGGCTATCAAAAGAACTGGAACTGTTTTTCCATCCTGTTCGTGATGATAAATGGCAACGTCCCATGGAGACGACAGCTCCTGCTCTTTTCCCATTTTACCTCCCGTATAATCACGACCTTGCACTCCAGTTCCAGCGACAGTAGTGACAACTTTTTCTTTCAAGTTTATCTATAAATCACGTCAATGGTAAAATGCATATTAAAATAACAAAATTTTTACGCCTTTGTCAACTTACTTTTCTGATCGCGTGATTTTCATTATCGGCAACGAAAATATCGTCATTAAGTACACAGATACCTTGAGGTGCATTAAATCTCGCATTTTCAAAACTTCCATCTTTGAAACCGGGAGAATATCCACCAATTACGTACTCGACTTTACCATTTTTTTCCATAACTAAAATACGATTATTGCCAGAATCAGAAACAACTAATTTTTCTTCCAATCCTGATTTAAAAACGTGTAATTTTCCTGGAAACAGTAAGCTGCCTCTGTTCATTGGTAAAATATGCTGTGCCAGTTTGATAGGAATAGTTTCGCTAGATATTTGTTTTTGCGACTTAAAATATTTCAATGCAACTTTGGTATATAAAAATAGTTCCTTTCTATGACCTTCTCCCACCAAAACAAAGAGCGGCTGTCCTTTGGGACCTAAAATTTTTTTTAATTAGTGAATTACCTCTTATTCTCCATACGAAATCACTTCAATAGCAATAAATCTGAACATACCTAACATTACTAAACTTGGCCAACAGACAATGCCAATATCCCGCCACATAGAGAGCTTGGCATCGTTAACAACAGGATGTCCTATGTTATACCTTTGCACTGCTGATAATATTTTACTTGAATCGCGTTCATTAGCAAACTTTGCGCTGTGGACGCCGACCTAAAGATTTTGTTACTGACTTATAAAAATTCTAAAATTTAATAACTGTAATGATAATTTTTTAAACATTTTATACTAACAACGACAAGGCCATCATGGATCGAATATTTTTTTTCCAAGGCATCCAAGTCTGGTAAGATGTGCATGCAATTAATGCAGCAATAAGTAAAAAAATCCAGCAGTACAATTTTACCAGACAGGTGTTTGTAAATAGACAAGCTTTCAGAAACATTGAACCACTCCAATCCTACAAACGAGTTAAAAAAATCATCTTTAAAAGGTATGTGAATTTTAAGGAAATGCGTGTTAATGAACATAAAAATAAATAAATCGTGAATTAAACTTATTTATTAAGTGATGTTAAAAACAATAAAAAAAAAACGTTAATTATGGATTAGAGAATATTTCAGCACGTTAAATTAAAATGTTGAAAGAGTCATTCATCCTTCAAAGGCAATCCAAATTCTTCGTGCAAACTAGCCGCTGTTACTCCTCTCATGGTTGCCAGTGCACCTAAAACCTCCTGGGTTGCATCTTTAATATTATTATACTCGTGCAGCAACTCCATGATCTCTTTCATAGAGTTCTGCAGTTCCGAGTTCTTTTTCAAACTAGCCAATTCCGTTTCCAAAAGTTCTTTAACTTTCAACAGATTGGCGTACTCTTGCTTCTCAGAATCTGTCAGAGCTTTACTTTCTTTTCTAAAAGTCTCTTTCAGAGGCGTTTTGTTTTTGCTCGACATCCCCTCGTGACAATAATGACCCGACATTCTTTTTCAAGGATCAACAAAAAATCACTGTGTACCTGCAAAAAAAAAGAAATCAACCTTCTTTTCATTCGGCCTTCATTTAAACTTTTCGACGTAACCTCATCACTAATGCAAAATATACACGAAGCCACGGTAAACCCTTACCCACTTGAATACAAAGAAGCACTCACCTTTGGCAAAATCGTTGACCTGAATCCCGGTGTCCGCGTAAGCCCTGACGTGTTTAAGTACAATGTCCTCTTTCTCCTGGTCGTCCTTGGCCGCACTGACGACTCTTCGCAGCTCGATGCAGATTTGCGTCAAATCCTCGACAATGCTCATCGTAGACCCGTGCTCGTTGTTGAAAAAGCGACGACCTCCTGATTTATTGTATTTATTATTATCCGCAGCACCACGAAGCGACAATGACGACAGATGAATCGCGCGATGACTTGTTCGAATTGGTGATGGATTGAAAGGCAACAACGACACTAGCAGTAAAGAAAGTTTAGGTGTTGTTGTGATCGTTCGATATCGGTATGCGAGGCGTAGGCTCCGGATTGTCAAATTATACATTTTTTTTTTCTCTCAAAAAGGTAGATTATTGTCGTGGTCCATATTTTATTTCGCACGAAACAATATTACAATGTTACTGGTAATACGCGGAGTCTCGCACTTCTTCAATTGGATTGTATTTTTGTCTGACTTTTTCACTCCAAACTCAGAAATAAACGGGGACGACACAGAGGGATCATTTCTATACTTTGCTGGTTGGGGTATTTGTTTAGGTACCTATATATAAATTTTTACTTGCCTGTGTATAGGTATAGACACTGCAGATATATATATATAGACAGATGCAGAATCCGGAAATGTGTTCTGCTAATATAAATAAACTTTAAAGTTTCTGTGACGTAACTCAATTTTCACCGATCAGTATTTCAGAGTTTGTTTACAAATGAAAAAAATGTGAGTTGTGACAATCAGCGTCATCTAGCGGTCTTCATTTTTTCGCTTTTCGCCGCGAAAAGTGGCCCTTAAAATTCTGAGAGCCATGTATAATCGACTATATAAACCAGCCGCATGATTATCTTATTTAAACAAATATTAACTAAAAAGTTGACGTGGTCTGTGCTATTTGCGGCAAGAATTTAAGATGCGTTTTGATGGAAAAGTAGCACCAGTTGTCTTGCTAAAAACTCAACTCTACTTATCTACTATACTGTATTCTTAAGTTGTTTTTCTAGGGCCTAATTCACTAAATTTTCTCAATTCTTGAGAAAGCCAATCAGAAAACTTCGATCAATTGAAGGACTCGTAAGTCCTTCAGGCCTAAGTCCCAGTTAACAGTCACAAAAATTAGATAATTCGGAATTTGGAAATAAAAGACAAGACAAGATATTAGTAGACATCATAGTTTTAGACTGAACGAATTAGCGTCCAATTAATATACTTAAATTTATTTAATATCAAGGATTTTAAATCTCAAAAACATAATATTTATTACAACAAATTTATTTGTATAACACATAATTTTTAACAAGTTCGAATAAAATAAGACATTTTTTTACTGTACGTGATTAAAACTTTTCTCAATTCAACATACAGCTCGATAGTCCCGGCGTATTCAAATCTGATTTCTTCCACTTTAGTTTTGTTTGATCAAACTTACAAATAATGTATAATAATAAATACACATTTACTTTAATAATTATAACAGGTACACATTTCTAGGCAATGTAAAATTTAAAAATAATATAAGCTGCCCCTTAACATGTTTAAACAACGTATTTCATGTTAAACACGAATTTAATCGATTTGTATGTAAATGTACAAATATTGTTCGAAAAATTACTCGACAAAAATGCATATTTCAATAAATTAGCACCAATATCAATTTATAAGTAGATTTTGCAACATTAGACCATTTATAGTCATTTTATCTGGCACATTATGTGAAGGAAAAATAATGCTTTTTTTTTGATCCAACATAACTAAATTACTATTGAAATTTTACAAATTATTTTGATAATCTTGATACGCTTAGAAAAATATTATCTTTGCACTTGTAAATAAAAATAAAAAAATATAATGTTCTCGATACTTATTGTTCACAAGTCTTCCGAATTTTCAGAATAATGATTTTTGTTGCGTTTTCTTACATTATCACAATTAGTATTCACCGAAGAATCGCCTATGTTCAATTTGCTTTTTGCTCTCTCCGCCTCTCGCTTGATAATCAACTCTTCGGTGAGATAAGCTTCTCGCTTAATCTGTTGTTCTAATTTACGTGGTATACCAGACAGGCACCACTGCACAGCCATCGTTATCAATCCAACTACATTCTAAGAAATTACAAAAGTCATGGGCCATGTAAAATCATATAGAATTGAATTAAGTAAATAAGATTTTTTTGTCTCACCTGAAAAATTACTACAAAAGCTAATCGAAAAGTTAGGATATGCCAATAGATGGTAGGTCTTTTATAAGGCAGTTCAAAGTGGTTTGGTGGATTTCGGTATTCGGCATAGCGGCACATTGTTACATTTTCAAACAAGCTATAATCAGGAGCTGTTCCGTTAACAAAATCTTTAGTATCAAATATAGCAAGGCTATGGTTCAAAAATCCTACATCAGTTTTATTTTCACTAACTACGTTCATGTATACGAGGCGAGGTATAAATGTCGAGGAAAATGCTATTATAAAACCCTAAAAAACACAGGAAATATACATTTACAAGGATGCAAAACTATATGCATACCAAACACAATTGCGTATTTATCTAAATTACCAAGTCATCATATTATATTCTACAACAATGACTGTACAAGTAAGGCGATACGCGTGGAAAGTGATACTCACGTTTGTTATGACGGATATACGAGCCAACGCGTCAAGTATACGTCCCCATACACCGATATCTCGAGCTCGGCGAGGCACGGGTCTACGATAATGTCGCAAAAACTTGGCTGCGTCCAAGCGCATTTCAAATACGTTGTTAGCTAAGGCACAAAGCGGTGCTAGTGGAAAAGCCACCACAAAAAGTGTGATAAATCCAAATTGGATGACCATTTCCAGATACTCGTCGTACAATCCTCTAGGGCCTGAAAAATCGTAATAGTTGCACAGCTCGTTTTTTTTCAAAAGCTAAAATTTTTGTATCATCAGAATCGATGGATATACTTACTCCAATCGAGAAGTTTTAAATCTTGTATCCACTGAGAACGAGCAATTATATCTCTTTGCTTCAATCCGACGTGAATGCGGAATAGCGCCCAGTACTTAAATAAGATCGGTAAAACCGTCTCCATTAATGTGTACATAACTTGCTTACCGATCATTATTATGGCTAACTGAATGGATAACTCCATGAGGCATCCCCCCGGCGCACACTCTTCTTGTCTGCGTCATTACGTTCGTTTTCATTATCGATTTCATTATTTGTTGTATCATTGGAGAATAGCTTACCTATGACCGAATATCTTATTGTACTTCATGGGATACCCAATAAACTTGCCTTTAAGAAAGGCAACGTAAAATATTGAAGCGTAATAATTGATGAATTGGAATAGATAAACTTTGAGAGTGAGACTATCATCAAATTCTGCTTGAGTCCTCAGAAATTCCATTTCTGTAAGATACACGGCCAACCAGTCGTAAAAGTAATTCAGAACTAAAATGCATACCTGTAATCGAGTAATATATAATAATATATATCATCAATGAAGTGCAACCGTTTTTGTTTTTTTTCAACAATTATATAATTTTATTTTCACACATACTAAATTGATTCCAGCCGCTATGGCTGGCAAAGTGAAGGTCTTATAATTTTGCGAGTTTACTTCGTGTCCAAAGAGCGAGTTCGAAGTTATGCTTGCCATTCTGTATAAAACGACGGCAAACACTGCTGCTAGAGCTACAACGATCAGCAGCAAAACTATGGAAAAGCTAAAAAAAGTCGCTGGTACTCGGACTTTCCAAAAACTCACGTGCAGCTCCTTCACTCTCGTAACCGGATTCATCTAATAATTATTTTTATTAACTTCCTAACTTGACGTAACAATGCATTATATGGTTACTAACGGAGTCATCGTATTTTGTATACCTTCTCTTTGACGTTAAGTAACTTTGCATTAGAAAGAGTGGATGAATACTGGGGTCGAGAGTGATCCGCAGATCTGTCCCAGCCGACGAGGCCCCATCGGTAACTTAAATTGGCTGCCCTTCTCTTCCATAATTCCAGATAAAAGACCGACCAGACTGACATAAAGGCAGCAAAGTAGACCATACCAGGGTTGTCGAATAAATACGTTAGGCGCGTTAATAAACAAGTTTCTCTTAATCTCCAAAAATCACAGTTTCGATCGCACTGCGGGCACATTATCGTTTTGTTCGCCCAATCGCCACATGCATCCTCAGCCATACGATTCGAATTCATCGTCATTAATCCTAATATAAAGCAAAGAACAAATAGTAAAGATTTTGATAAGAGTTGTTTTACATACGGTGGGATTCGTGATTTGTAAGTCATTTTTCACATTACGGATAGAGTGGAGAGTAATAAAATAATTACCATAAAAAAAAAATAGTAACCCAGCAATACTAGCTGGGATAAGCATGTACGTATAGAACCCAAGCCACGCAAAATACATAGCAAAATTAACTCCGAAATATTCTCTAATGGTATCTAAAGGCTGCAATTTAACCCATTTACTTGTTGCAGCCCATTCATCAAGCAGTAACTTTCTGATACTTCCCTTTTGCTTGGTCGTCCCCTTGAAAAGTTATAATCAATGAACTTTATTATTGGATGCTCAGTATAAATTGATTAAAACTATTACAATCATAAATCAATTCCATACCTAATAATCGAGCAAAATTAAAAAAATGTACGTGGTAACTAATGATAACTAGTATTAACAAAACTCAATGAATAGCTTACATCATGCAATGGATACGCAGCGGAGTAAACACCTCCATCTAACAAACGTTGAATGCCTTCACATTGCCTTTCCAGAATAAAATACACAATCATCACTCGAATATGCATAGGAAAAAATTTTTTATCCTTGGTGTCGAATCTTTTGTTTTAAATAAATAAATACAGTTATCTAATTGGTAATACTATGTGAAAATAAATAACAAATTTTTGAAATACATACAAATAGTCCTTGTCTCTGGAGTATTCAGCAGCCAGTTGATATTCCACAGGAGGAAACTGTTTTTTATCTAACTGTGCAAAGCTAAACAATCTAATAAACCATGATTTAGCATCATCCAACAGATCTGTTTCTTCAACTACAGTCTCATCTGGAAATGGTTTTATTGGCATCTTGAGTTTCATGATTTCGCAATATCTGCATAAAACTTCCTGTTGAGACACAATTATAATTTTTTTTAATATGTCAAGTCTCAATAAGTATGTATTAAGATAAAATCATTACTTCAGACGCATAAATCTTAACAAAACGTAATTGACTATTTTGCTCGTATTTTAATTGTAATCCTTGATCTATGAGACTCTTCTCAAACGCTTTTCTTTTCTGTGTTTGAGCAGTGTTACCGTTGTAAACATAGACCAAAACAAAATCAACAGTTCCATCCTCTTCTTCGTTTTGAGATTCATATTCAAAATTTGTATCCTACAAAAAAAGAAAAATTCATCAACAATTACACCAAAATGAAAAAAGTCACGATGACGATAACACTTACCGAAAAAGCAGGATAATTTTCCTGTTCCATAAAAATGACCCTCTGATTTATGTCCAGTGGAATATGATCAGTATTTAAATCGAATCTATCACCATTGTTAATCATATTGCTTGAAAAAAATCTATTGGGTCTATAAGAACTGACTCATCAGTGACAATTTTTTTTTCTCGATTTCATGAAGTGGGTAATAATGTACTTAAGTCATCATCCATAAATAAAATAATTGACTCACCCGTTAGAATAGCTTGTATTATCCGATTGCTCCAAGTGTTAATTAATTTTTAGGCATATAACGATGATCGTTATTATCATTCATCGATGTAAGAAATAAGAATAGTCGTGACACACCCCAACAATAAATTATAAAACGAGTAATCTTTGACTAGAAAGTATTGCAAAAGAGACAGTCAATCATTCGCGAATGTACATATACATGTAGGCACTTCAAAATAGTTTGTAAAACTTATAAACAACTACCTAAGTGAGACAAAATTTTATAGCAGAAAACCGATTTCTCAGGCCGATCAATTTTATATACGGAAGCCCCGTTTTTCACGACATATACATAAAAACGCAGAAGAGTCAAAGAGTGCACAATAACACGTACGAGTGCACGAAAGCGAAAGCGCGCACACAAGTTGTTAAAAAAAAAAAATATACTTTGCTAAATCGAACGGAACCCATAGACATAAGAAAAATAGACTGCTCGTTCTTAAGTATGTACGGCGCTGAAGCACAAGTAGAAGAAGACACCGCATCGAACGTGGGTATATGTGGGTATCTATCTCTCTCGCACATTTCCACTTTTCGGTGTTGTGTCTCCTTCTACTTGTGCTTCAGCGCCGTACATACATAAGAACGAGCAGTCTATTTTTCTTATATGTCTATGGAATGAGCAGTCTATTTTTCATATGTCTATGCTTTTTACGCGGTTTCGTTTCTTAAAGATCCATCGTCAATTGTCTATACATAATATTTTGTTTTTAACATAATAAAATCGAACATAATGGCAGATGAGGACGTAAACGGAGACTCAGACGAGGTGCAACAAGAGAAGTCGCAAAAGAAGACCGCCAAGTACGATAGCGGAGCCGCGGACCTCGAGAAAGTCACCGACTATGCCGAGGAGAAAGAGATCACGTCGTCCGAAGGCTTGTCTAGTGTGAGTTGGCGTTTGCCGATGTCCACGTGCTTATTTTTATTGATAAAACATGCTGCCCAATTTTTTCCATACCCATAGATACTTTTGTATTTGCTGTAGAACAAATCTAAAACTACAGAGTAATGCAGGGTTTCTAACCTCTGTTGGGCAAAAATTTGATAGCAGTCACCTGTGATAAAATAAAACGATAATATTAGAAACCGTGTGGTGATGGGTCTTAATCGTTTGATTCAATTTTAGGCAATGAGCATAATTGGAGACAGGCGGAATAAAGAAGTTGAAGAAAAAAAAGCAAAAGAGAAAGAACTGTTGAAAGTTTCTATTAACAAGGAAGACGTTGATCTAATAGTAACTATTTTCTTTACGTAATATAATAAAACATTACCACCTATTTGGCTGGTTTTTGCTTGTTGGATACATCAAGGCTGAAACTCTTAATGATTTTATTTTACATTACAGATGAAAGAGATGGAAATCAACAGAAATCTTGCAGAACAAACTTTGAGGGAACACAGAGGAAATGTTGTGGAAGCACTAGTTACTCTAACCAGTTGAGAATCTAGAGAACTTTATTTGAGCGATTTGAATAAGTGGCTGAAAGTGATTAACTGTGAGAGATTGACCAATCAAATTTTTCATTATTTATTACCATAAAAGAAATATTCATCCAAAGAAGAATAAAGTGACTGTTAAATTTTTTTTTTTTTTTTATGTATTTTAGTTGTTGATCATTTTTTAATATCTCTAAAACTCTTATCCTTAAGGTGGCTGTTGGAAAAAGGGTAAATAATCATCACATTGTTTATAATGAAAATGTAATTTATTTGATGTGGTGCAGCGACTTAAAATAATTGAAAAATGAATGTATGAGCTGGTATCGATGAGCAGTACTTTGCCTTAAGGACTGCCTCTGTTGTCATTATTAAGAAAAATAAAAAAAAAATCATCCAAGTTAAATGCAACATAAATATGGAAGTGCGTTGAGAAACAAAACATCGGCAATCCATAGTACATTTGTACTGATTTCCATGATAAGGTAACATACTTGCACTTAGTTTATCAAATTTTTCCTGTTATACGCTCATATACTTTTGCTGTTGATCTTTGACAATAGACAATAACTTTTAAATGGTATTTACCATTTAAGAAAATCGTTGATATAAATTTTTATTTTACTCATCCGTTATCAGTCGGACAGTCCCAAATTCAGTGCATGGATTAATAAAAATTTGAATTTCAATTATCTGCACACAACATACTTTATTTCTCCTTTATTTAATTATTAGGCTTCAGCTCGATAAATTTCATTTTACATACACGGATACTCTGTGCAAGAGTCAATGTCAATTTACAAAACTTTTAATCACACATATAGCGATTTATGCTACACCTAAAATATAATTATAACGTTGCATAAACTAAAAAATCTTGAATTTTCAAAATATAAAATAATTAAGCAACTAAAAAAATACAATCAGCTGCAAGAAAATGAATTATCAATCACTTACATATATTGTGCTGAAGCAAAGTTTAATTCTTACAAAATATAGATATTATGTACAGTGACAGTTTAGCGACTTATGATTTTATGGGGCTGTCCAACAGAGGTTGCCAATATTATTTTTACTGGCTGCCAGGATCATCGACTAATTGGGACGTGGCGTTAAGTTTCAAGAGCAGGAGTAAAGTTACAGTTGTAATTGTTACAATGGACTTATCACAGAACATGTATGGCATTAATATTTTATTATCGTCATTAGTGTAATGTTAAAAGGGATAGCGGGATTGCAATGGACTCAATACCGTTGATAAAACTAAGAGGGTCAGGAAGCCAGTATGGTATTAAAAATGATGATTATTGTTGCCTCTGGTTGCCCATAATAAAATTCAGCTCGCATTATTTTCTTTTGACGATTTTTTAACAAGTAATTACACAAATCGATTATTATTTCGTACTATTATTGACTAACGCTTACTATACATTTTATTTAGCATTTGCGCGACTCTTGCCGCTATTAACACTCAATAAACGCCAGCATAAAATTTTTAGTATTTTTTTTTTTTTCTTTTTACTCCAATGCGGTAAATATGCCGATAAACTCAACAGAGTTACTAAAATATACGTAAATTTCGCAATGAAAAGTCCAAGAAAATATTTTTAATTAATTATGGACAACCCTATAATTTTTTCCAAAGAAAAAAAACTCGGTTGCATTAGCTCGCAAGAATATTAAACAAAAGAAGCATCTAATTAGTTTTGATGACCACTTTCTTACACTTGAATTATAAAATCAAAAGGAGAGAGAAAGAGAGAATAGTGTCAACAGACATAATCTCTGCAGGCAAATAATATACAAAAATACAGGGCACAGGTTGCGCATAGCATTAATTAATAGTAAAAATAACCGTACGTACATATTGAGAGAAAGAGATCATATAAAACGCTAACTAGAATCATTTACTCTGTTCTGGAAGAGTTTGATGATTTACAATTAAAAATTACTATCCGGTACAATAAACAAAGTGTCTAGGAGTCTCCCGGCTATGTAAAACCACTTCGAGGGTCCAGTGCCAAGACTAAACAGGCTGGGCACGAAAATTGTTTGCCAAGCCGGGAGGCTGTTTGTTTGATCCGCTGACAAAGGAACAAAATTTGTTAATCGGCTGACCGACGCCTATCACATCACGTCTGTGCTGTTTTGTTTTTTCATTTTTTATTTTTTCATTAATATAATTATTGTTATTATTATCTTCATTTCGTGGCAACGTAGCGAGCATCGATCTCTTGGTCCTCTGTTGGCTGCTCTCGATACATATCAGCGCTACAAATCATCTCTTATTCATGGAAGCAAAAGGCGGAATTAATGCCCGATATCTCTCTTTTTTTCTCGGCATTAAAGGGCGTCTGTTTCGAGCTAAATGTAAAAGTCACCTGGTCAACGAGCAAGTGGATGGACTTTACGTTTTGTCAAAAACTTTTTTACGAAGATGCACTTGTTTTGCTAGATGCTGCCGAAGGAGAGGAACTCGAAACTTAAAGTTTCTTCAAGTTTTGAGAGAAAAGATGGACGATTTGATGATTGACGAGAAAAGGGCGTTTTTTTGTAGTGATAACCATCGCCACTGACTAACACCATGACGCATACTGACCACAACACGTCCTCATCAGACCAACAAAACGTAACACCAAAACGTAACATTGTCTGACAAAACTGTGCCTCGGACTGTCGCCACGCTATAATCGCTCTTTTTCTCCACACACTTCATAGCTTTGTTACTGTAATTTTTTTTCATCTCTCACTCTTTCTCTACAACTGACTTTAAAGTGTCCCTTTCTCGATAAACATGTATTTCCACCTCTTTATTTTCATTTTATTCATTTTGATTGGGCCAACTTGATGGCGCACTAGGAAACATTAATTCATATATCACTACTCCTTTGTTTTGTTTTTTTTTCTTTCACTGTACACAAAAGTTAAGAAGGATGTAAAATAGGCGGGGGCGATGTTGTTGTTGTTGTACCCGGAGTCAGAGGTGACTGCTTTCAGCTCTGTTTAACTCGTTTCCGGGGCGGACCGATGGGCGGTATTTGTTGAGTCGCGAGAGCCCGAAAAGCCTCCGCGATCAAGTTTGGATGCGACGTGACCATCGACTTGAATCCCGACGTTTCCATCACGTCCGTCGCATGCCTGGAACACCAAATACACGAATGCAACATCAGTCGAAACGCATTCAAATCAATTTTCACCTCTTTATAAAAAAAAAAATAAATAAATAAAATAAAAATTAATCACTCACGTGTTTATGAAATCAATAGCTTGCGCCTTGAGCTGATCCGCGCTGTGGAGATCAGCGAGTATGAGGATATCGGCCGCGTTATCGATGGCCAAACTGGTGCATAGCGCTTCCTCGCACATGACCTTCAGCCTTTCTAGCGCGTACTTGTCCGCGGCTGCTAGTAAGTCGTCGGCCATTTTTTCGAGGTTCGCCGCCTTGCCCGTGTAAATGAATCGCAACATTTCCCTAAACACGTCCTGTTCCACGTCAGTGATGTCGACGCGGTTCTGCTTCCTTTCCTCCATTTCGTGTTCAAACATGGCCGAGAAGACTGGACTCCGCGCTAAAAAATCATATAGAGAGAGAAAAAAAACCCTTCATTAATTTTTATCCGTGAATCAAGGAAAAAAAGAACGATGTTTTTAGTAATGGTAGTCCTCGTTTTGAAATGTGACTATAATTACAACGAGTACATTGTAAGTTTCAGTTGATCAAGATCGAGGCATTTAATCGAGCGCAGCCTTGAATCGGATTGAGATAATCGGTTCAATGATTTTACGCTCAAGTTAAAAATTGTTGAGGAAAAAAAAATGAGGTTAGTGGGTGAGTGTTGCCTGTGAACTTGACAATCGAGGCATGTGCGCTAGTTACGGAGCAAACAAAAAAAAAAAAAAAAAAAAAAAAAAAAAAATGCAATCCCCCACAATATACCATTGACGTGGTCGATCAAAAACTCACGATTGCACAAACGTGTTTCGTTAACTGTACGCTCAATAATCCCTCCCTCCCTCTCTTTCTCCTCGTGCATATTTAATTTTGCCGAAATGAGGGGGAGGAAGGGCCCCCTTTTTGTTATAGATCACAAAAATCGATGGATACATGCAACACGACTGACCGGCCAGTATTGCCTTGTGCGCCTGGAATTCCTTTCCGCAGACGGTGAGCGTGACGTCGCTGAATTTTTGATTTTCAAAGAGTAGCCCAAGATCGTCAGGTAATCGGCACTCGGGCACCTTGAACTGCACTGTGTTACTCTGGCCGGATATATTGACACTGTCGGCGACCACACTCACCTGGCAATCATAAAAAAACACGGGATGGATGTATTAATTCAATAAAAACAAATAAAAGTACATATAATAATAATAATGTAATGTGAATTGTGGAAAAACACGCACGCACGCACCTCACAGAATATCGTGAGTTTGTCGTCTGGCAGAAGACCGTTGGCTTCGTCCAGAAGAAAGTCTCTCCTTATGAACTTTTTGAAACCCCAGTCTTTCCCCTGAACGAACCTGTACGCTCGTTGGCTTTCTGTAATGAAAATACATTTTTTTTTTTTTTTTTTTTTTTTTAATAAATAGAGCACACAAGAAAAAAAAATTTTTTTTTTAATCACAAAAACAAACTATACTCACCCATCGCTTTGGTTTCTTCTCTTTTGGCGTTAAGAATAGAAAATTTGAATTTGGCCCTCACTTCTGATTTGTTGCAGGACACGAGAAGCAAGTAAAGAGACAGGTAGTCTTTGCTCTCCTCGTCCAAGCCTTTTGGATTCACTCGTAAGCACCTGCCAACACACACGTTGTTGCATAAGTGTCGATAAATAAAAAAAAAAAAAAAAAAATTATGTTACGTGTACATATGCTCGATCACCCGATTCGAGAGTAATAATAATTTTGCGCTCTTATCCCAACCCAAAAGATATTACTATTCACGACACGAGATATCAATTGGTTTATCAATAAGAAAAAAAAAAAAAAACTTCAATAAGTAACTTTTCCACTTTATTTCTAAAGCTTCGCGCGGTTATATTTATCGTTGCGCAATACATCATTGTAGTAAAGTGTGTATTTAAGCAGCGATTTCTTCCACGTACGATTCCTGAGTAAACGTTCATTATATTTCGAAAAATATAGTTACAGTCGCAAAGGTAGACGATTATAAAATTATCAATGACATAGTCGTTTGGTGCTTTAAAACATTTCACTCGAGCGCTGATAAGAGAATCCGGTTGCCTTATCGCTCGAGATTTTTTTCTTTCTTTCTTTTTTTTTCTTTTTTTTTCTTTATTGTTACTATTTAATTCCTTGAATGTCACGCACGCATTCAGCCAGTAGTCCAACACGACTAGAACAATCTTTGTTTCAACCAACGAAGAACTAAACTCGTGTAGGTTTTATACAGACGCGTGGGTCGAGAAAAAAAAAAAAAAAAAAAGAGTACTCACCATTTCAACTTGTCGTTGGCCCCTGCGGAAAACGTCGACGACTTTAACACTTCGCCCATCTCCTCCCGGCAAAAGCTGAAGTTGTTTATCGTCCACATGTAGCTGAATTTGACCACCTTCACCTGCGCACGCAAGATCAGGGAAGAGTTGAATAACAAAGAAAATGTTTGCATCGTCGGGTTGCAAGAAGAAAAAAAAAAAAAAAAATCAGGCTATCTTTGCGTATCTTTATGTTGTCCACGTGAGAAAAAACAACAACAACAACAACGCATAGATACCCATGTGTACTTCACTCGGTCGACAAAAAGCCAGATAAGTGAAGTAACAAAGGCCACCTGACCGGAGAATTCGTGAATAATAGTGCTTCAAAAGAAGTTAACGAAGCTTGAGGAGGAGGAGGAGGAGGTGGAGGAGGGGAACGAGAGGGGCAGGAGGAGGGGGGAACTGCACGCGGCCCTGGACACGCTCGAGAGTTCTATAATGAGTGTGTGCACAACACATGAATAGATGCGCGGACACACGCGCTCTCGAGTCAGGGTCAAGCTGAACTTGAAGACGAGTTTTTTTTTTTATGTAACGCCCACGCTACATATACTATACGTACCACGCACTCCCTTCCAATTTTTTTTTGTTCTTATTTTCGCTCTCACGTGCCGCGGAAATTGCACGATCTCGTTTTTGATCACACGCTCTCTCTGCTTCTCGCGCGGTGATCCCATTTGAATCCGGGAGGCCCATATAAAGTCCGGAGACGGGGGAGACAATTGCTGCGAGGGAATTCGAGTACATTTCCCGGATGGTTGGCAAAGGTGACAAAAAACAATTTTTTTTTTCAACATCGGACGATCCGAGACTCTTTTCCGCGGCGCGTCTCGAGGAAGAACAAGAAATAGATGTACAAAGGGAGGGGATATATCGCTCGCGCCAGGCATTTGCAACCTGTGGATTTAATGGTCGGGAGCAGGTTTGCCTCTCGAATTTCCGCATTTTTTTTCTCCAACCACTCGTTGCCACGCGTTTTTTACATTATTATTTATTTATTTTTTGTTTTGTACATAGACATAAACGAGGAACCACAAAATCTAAGCTATAGCAATTGCCATTGCAAGGGATTTTCCCATAGTTGTAACCCTGCCTAGTTAGGTTTACGAATTGCACACAATACACCCACTTGTGTCGATATTTTTCCAACAAGTTAATGGGCCACGAAAGCTCGAGCGAGTCGTCAAAAACGCAGTTATGAGATTCGACGAGATCGGCAGAAATAATTACTCGTACGGGGAGGAGGAGGAGGAGGATAAAGCACGATGGGCAGGGAGGCTCATCGTCACCATGCACTTATATCACACCCCAACGATAATAATGTAACATATAAATCACAGATGCCAGCCGGCCGGTCGGATAGTCGTAGTAGCTGTGGCGCGCGTGTATCACGGAGAGTTCGACGAACTTTGTAGGTCGAAAGCAGCGTGGTACGTTATCGGCAGCGCGACTCTCCCATCTATATATTATGCTTGTTTTTTTTTTTTTTTTTTTTTTCCCCCAAGTAAGGTACGTGTGCCATTATGTGCCATAAACGCACAGTCCCCGCGTGGTTCGTCAAAGCTAAAAGCCCAGTGAGTTTGTACGTGCGTGTGCCCATATACAGCAGCCCTCGATATTGGAGGAGGAGGAGGAGAGCCCGGGCTTTCCACTCGACAGCAGGAGAAATAAGGTTCAACGCACGCGCGAGCAAAGAGCGCCCGTATACTATCACAGCACTCGGCGCGCAAGCTCTCTCTCTCTCTCTCGGCTAGCGCAACAATGCGCAATGCTCACGGTTTGATTGAAAAAAAAAATTTCTTACGGTCGCTACTATATAGTTCCCGACGTGAGCTTTTTCGGTACGCAAGTATATGCGACACGCAGGCACCGTTCTCTACTACGCGTTTTTAGGCAAACTAGCTCATATAGAGAGACAGCGAAAGAAGGACGATTTTTTCCCTCTGCCTAGAGAATTTAATTGTGGCGTAAGTACACGGGAAACTATATTATATGGTATACAAGGACAAGAGCACACCAGCAAGTACAATATAAGGTACATACATGCACACTGCAATAAGGAAGAGTATATAATATGATGGGATATATGTATATATAAACGGTAGATCGGTAGGTGTGCACGGTTGTACGGGTGTGTATACGCGTGTACTCGGTCTCGCGTTGCTATAGGTGTCCCGAGGTCTGCCTACAAGCTCGCCGGTCGACGCCCTACGAGTCATTCAACTCGTTCTCTCTCCGCGTTGCTGCTCCTGCTTGCTCGCAACCTTGGGATCATCCGCGACGAGGAGACGCTTATTGCCCCTCGATGGCTTCCGGCTACCGAGAGCTTCGAGGCCAACTATCCCTTCCTTACCTCCTCTTCCTCCTTGTTTTTTTTTCTTTTCTGTTTTTGTTTAAAGTCTATTTTACCCGTTCCACGGCCTGTGTAGCGATGATGAATAAACGCCACCTCCCGCTCGTTCCTCCTCATTTTTTTTTTTGTTACCTTGGACAAGCGGCACGGGGTTATACAACCTTCCGTCGAGGAAGCACGCGTTTGGGGGTTGCGCCTGAACGAGCTTTTGCGACCCCACAGCGAGTGAAAGCCTCACGAGTTTGGCCAAAAACCAACTAAATGGGCGGGAAAATCTAAAACCGTTGCCTCGTCGGACACCTCTCGCATAACCCAACAACGGTACATCCACACAATAAATATTTTATTGTATACAATTATTACATGGACACACGAGTCCTTGGGATTCCATCGACTCTTGCGTCAGCGCTGGCCCCTCCACCCAAACCCCGAAGGAGCATATCTTCCGTCTCTCCGGCATTACATTCTGATCGCATCGATGATCTTATATCCTCCGAAAGAGTTCATCGACACCTGGACGCTGAATTATAATGTGTAAGTATCTCGAGACCCCCTCGTGGCGAGCTTTTCGCGAGGAGCTCCTTTCACGTGGTGGTCGAGTGTTTGCACCAAGATTATGTTCGCGTGTGTGTGTATATATATATTATACAGGTTGATGCGCCCTACTTTGTGTTTTCCCTTCGCGAGCGCTTTTCTCTCGCAACTCCTTGTTGCAAAAAGTAAAAATCCGCCGCTCAACGGGAATGTTGTAAGTTATAAAGGGAGGGGAGGATTTTCGTGCACGCGATATGTGAACGAGCGCGCTCGTGAATAATTGTGAAATTGGGTTGTGAAACGAGGCCAAAGTGAGAATTATTTATCAACACACCGGACAGAGTGGTGGTGTTTTACTTTTTCAAACTCGATCTCGTTGCAACAGTCACGGGGACTCGAGTTTCTTTACGTGTAGATATCGAGAAGCTTGATTTGGCTATACACACGCACCGTATATTCAACCAGATCGACCAGGTTTGCATAAGAAATCAAGAGCGCGCATGAGTCTGCTGATGCAAGCGCGGTGAATGCAGAAAAAAACCATAATCGAGAGTCGAGGTGACCTCGACTATTATAATATTACACGACAAACGGAAGCGCGCAGTACATATTGTTATAATAAAATATATTATCGCGAGAGGCAAGAGAGAAACAGTGCGCGGGGTAGCCGAGATATCTAGTTGGTATGGTACTTATACGGCAGGTCGTTCACTTTGCGCGCGCCGAGGGGTCGCGGCGAAAATAGACTGTCGAGGAGGAGGCTCGCTACGGAAGTGCGTTTTCTCTGCCTCGGCTTTTCTCTTTCTCTACATAATATAAGCATATACATATACCGCACGCTAACGTGTACTTAACTATGTTAAAGCGATACAATCAGCGGGTACATAATTATAGTTTTCGCTTTGGATTTGTAATGCGAGGAGCAGAGGTGGGGGGGGGGGAGGAAGAAAATTCGAGGGTTTTGTCGTTGTTGTTTCGGCACTTACCTGCGTGTAACACCAATTTTCGGCAACGGGAGTGTTGACTTCCGGCGGCGGGGGGCTTGGCACCCGGCTCACCGCCATACTACTGCTGCTGTGCAAGTTCGAGCTCACCCGCGACGTCTGGGGCGCACAGTCGCTCACCTGAAGCCTGCAACAAAAACGTGCCCTCATATTATTATCACCACACAATGACACATTGGGTTAAATTATACAGGAGATGCGGATTAAACAAAAACAAAAAATTGCAATATCTTTCATCTTAAAAAAAAAAAAAAAAAAAAAATTTACAGGGCAATAACTTATACGCGAGAGAAACAAGATGGGTAGGGGGAGGAGGCTTCACGTATCACAATCGTTTGCATGTATATAATAAACTATTGTACGAGGGAAGCAGGCTCGCGCTCCTCAATATTGCACCAAAACGCGCTCATCGGGGACCACGAGGTAGGTACCCATAAGTAGTTAGTACCTTCTCTAAAGAGGAACAGAAAGAGAGAGAGAGAAGGGTATAATATGTGCAGGGCACGCGATGGTTCTCTCTGCACGTGCACCAAGTAAGTAGGTACGCCGAGAGAGAGAGAGAGAGAGAGTGCATTAGCCCCGCAGGTTCATCGGACCCATATCATACAATATACCAGAGCTGACGCTATATACATCTGTATGCATATATATGTGCATGCACGTACGTGGTATTGCTTATTGCCACTATTACTCGCTACTCGTATCAAATACTATAGCCTATTCGCACCGAGCCGATACAGAGGTTGCGCCCCCTCTAGCCAAAATCAGGCAAAATTTCTTGCATGTAAACAAACGGTTTAGAACATATATACATACGTATTCGCTCCGTGCATGACACGCAGCGCCGCCCTCGGTGTCAGAATCGCGCAATACCGTACCCCCGTATGATTAAATCGTAACACTGTCGCTTATAGGAGAAAGTATTATTTATTGAATAAGACATACATACTGCTATCGCGTAAACATCAGCACCCTTAAAAATGGATATGATTATCCAAACAGGCTTTAAAAGTTTAAGTTGCAACATAGTTTTTAATAATGAAACGCTGAAAAAAGCTAAAAAATTAGTAGAGAGTGGGCACGTTGCCTACGTACAGGAATATGTAAATAAAGGAGTCGTTCATCTGATCTATACAAAGTAGAATTATCTGTAAGTACATTATTGCCTATGCTTGACAAATGTAGGTTATGGTAACATATACATAAATGTGTAATTTATTTATCAGATTAACGAAGACCGCTGTATCTCCGACGTATGGGGTCTACTTGGGAATTTATACAGCACCACCCCCTGCTTTTCTTTCTTGTTGCAATTAACAACGCAGCACTGTCTCGTACGCATTTCGTTACTTTGTAAACGTAAACACTGATTCAGATTATACAGCTAGCGGCAGCCTAT